TGAAGAGGTGATTAGATTATAGGACTGTGCAGTAGTGAATAGATTAAAAATGGTAATCAGGGGCGTGGTTCTGAGGGCTTTAAAAGAAGAGAGAGGAGAGTCTCTCTCTGCTCCTTCGGCTTCCACCATCTTGCAATGTGAGACCTCTGGGTCATTGTCTCCACCACCAGATGGACTTTGGACTTCCCAGCCTCAGCAATGGTAAGCAATAAATTTGATTTTTCTTTATAAATCACCCAGTTCCATGAATTTTGTTATAAGTAACAGAAATGGACTAATACATACATTCTCAAGAATGGCTATTTAAAAACTTGTACTTACCTTGTACTGAATCTTAAAGGGAAAGCTTTTAGTTTTCTCTCATTGATTATGCTGTTAGCTGTGGGCTTTTCACATATGACCTTTATTGCGTTGAAGTAAGTTCCTCCTATATCTATTACCTTTTATACCTATACTTATATTGTTGAGAGTTTTTAAAATTATGAATGGATGTTGAACTTTGTCAAATGCTTTTTCAGCATCTATTGAGATGTTCATGTGGGTTTTTGTTTCATTTGCTAATGTGGTATATCACATTGATTGATTTGTATTATCCTTGCATTCCAGGGATATATCCCACTTGGTAATGGTATATGATCCTTTTAATGTGTTATTAAATTTGGTTTGCTAGTATTTTATTGAGGATTTTTGCATCTGGGTTCATCAGGAATATTGGCCTGCAGTTTTATTTTCTTGTAGTCTTTGGTTTTTGTATCAGGATGATGCTGGCCTCACAGAATGAGTTTAGAAGTGTTTCCTCTTTTATTTTCTAAAAGAGTTTAATAAGAATTGGTATTAATTTTTCTTTGAGTGCTTGATAAAATTTATCCATGAAGCCAACTGGTACTGGGCTTTTCTTTGTTGGGAGATTTTCGATTATTCATTCAATATCCCTATTTGATATTGGTCTGTTCAGTATTTTTATTTCTTGACTTAGTTTTGGTAGGTTGTATGTTTCTAGGAATTTGTCTGTTTCTTCTAGGTTACCCAGTTTGTCAGCATATAATTGTTTATAATAGTCCCTGATGACTCTATTTCCCTCCCTGAGGCATCCATTGTAATGTTTCCTCCTTCATTTCTGATTTTATTTATTTAAATCTTCATTCTTTTTTTTCTTGGTCTAGTTAAGGGTTCGCCAATTTGGTTTATATTTTAAAAAAACAACTCTTCGTTTTGTTGAGTTTTTATTGGTTTTAATTCTCTACTTGATTTACTTCTCCCCTAATGTTCACTATTTCCTTCCTTCTGCTAACTGGATTTAGTTTATTGTTCTTTCTCTAGTTTCTTGAGATGTAAAGATAGGTTGTTTATTTGATATCTTTCTTCCTTTTTAATCTAGGCATTCATTGCTATAAACTTCCTTCTTAGAACTGCTTTTGCTGCATCCCATAGGTTTTGGTATGTTGCATTTTCATTTTCAATTTGTCTCAGATGCTTTTTAAATTCTCTTTAGATTTCTTCTTTGACCCAATTTATGTTCAAGAGTGTGTTTAGCACTTTTGCCATTTCTCTACAGCATGATACTGGAAGTCTTAGCCAGAGCAATTAGGCAAGAGAAAGAAGTAAAGGCATCCAATTCAGAAAGAAAGAAGTAAAATTATCTCTGTTTGTAGATGATATGATCATATACTTAGAAAACTCTAATGACTCAAAGGAAAAAAAACTTAGAATTAATAAATGAATCAATCACATTTCTATATCTGAAAAAAATTAAAAAGTCAATCCAATTTACAATAGCAAAACAAAGGATAAGATATTCAGGAATAAGCTTAACCAAAGAGGTGAGAGACTTGTGCAAAGAGGTGAGACTTGTACACTGAAAATTATAAAGCACCGATGAAAGAAATTAAAGAAGATAAAGAAGAAAGATAAATGAAAAATATCCTGTACTGGGCCGAGCCCGTGGCGCACTCGGGAGAGTGCAGCGCTGGGAGCACAGCAGCACTCCCGCTGCGGGTTCGGATCCTATATAGGGATGACCAGTTCACTCACAGCGCTCACTGGCTGAGCGCAGTGCGGCTGGTTTCAAAAAGGACACAAAAAAAAAGAAAAAGAAAAAGAAAAATATCCTGTACTAATAGATAAAAAAAATGAATACTGCTAAAATGTCCACACTGCCCAAAGTGGTCTACATATTTAATGCAATCCCTATCAAAATCCCAATGGCATTCTTTATGGAAGTAGATAAAACAATCAGAAAAGTCACACAGACCTCCAATAGCCAAAGCAATCTTGAGCAAGTAGAACAAAGCTGGAGCCATCCATCTCCTGATTTCAAAATATATTACAAAGCTACACTAGTTAAAACAGTATAGTACTGGCATAAAAACAGACATATAGACCATGGAACAGAATAGAGAGCCCAGAAATAAATCATGTATCTGTCGTCAGCTGATCTTCAACAAGAATGCCAAGAATGCACAATGGAGAAAGAATATTTTCTTCAGTAAATGGTGTTGAGAAAACTGGATATCCATATATAGAAGAATGAAATTGGACCCTTATCTCACACCATATACAAAAATCAACTCAAAATGGATTAAAGACTTAAATGTGAAATCTGAACTCATAAAATCACCAGAAGAAAACATAGGGAGAGTTTCTTGACACTGGTCTGGGCAATGACTTTTTGAATATGACACCACAAGCACAGGCAATGAAAGCAAAAATAGACAAACAGGCTTGCATCAAACTGAACATCTTCTGAACAGCAAAAGAAACAATCCACAGAGTGAAAAGGCAATCCACAGAATGGAGAAAATATCTGCCAACCAAATATTTGATAAGCAGTTAACATCCAAAACTTATAAAGAACTCAAACAACTCAATAGCAAGAAAACAAATAACCTGATCAAAAAATGAGTAAAGGACCTGAATAGACATTTCTCAAGAGAAGACACACAAATAGCAATATGTATATGAAAAGCTGTTCAACTTCATTAATCATCAGGGAAATGGAAACGAAGACCATGAGATATCACTTCACACCTGTTGGAATGGCTATTATCAGAAAGATAATACGGAAAGAAGGAAATCTTTATTATTGGTGGGAATATAAATTGGTACAGCCATTATAGAAGACAGTGTACAGGTCCTCAAAAAATTAAAAATAGAACTACCATATGATCCAGCAATGTCTCTTCTGGGTATATATCTAAAGGAAATAAAATCAGTATCTCAAAGAGATATCCATGCTCCCATATTTATTTCAGCATTATTCACAATAGCCAAGATATGAAAGCAACCTAAATGTTTGCCAATGGATAAATGGCTAAATAAAATGTGACACACACACACACACACACACACACACACACGAGAAAATTATTCAGCCTTAAAAAAGAAAATCTTGCCATTTGAGAAAACATGGATGAACCTGGAGGAAATTATGCTAAGTGAAATAAGCCAGATGCAGAAAGACAAATGCTGCATGATTTCACTTATATGTGGAATCTAAAAAAGTCTAGCTCATAGAAACAAAGAGTAGAATGGTGGTTACTGGGGGCTGAAGACATGAGATATTGGTCAAGACATACAAAGTTTCAGTTGTGCAGGAGAAATTAGTTCTGGAGAGCTAAAGTTTAACAATGTGACTATAATTAACTATATTGTATTGTATACTTGAAATTTGCTAAAAGGGTAGATCTTAAGTGTTCTCCCCCCCACCACACACACACAAAAGTAACAATGTGAGGTGATTGATATGTTCATTAGTTTGGCTATGTTGAATATTTCAAAGTGTAGATGTACATCAAATCATCAAGTTGTACATATTAAATAAACACAGTTTCTAATTGTTAGCTATATCTCAATAAAGCTGGAAAAACAACTTGTACTACCATTTGTGAAAAAATGGTATGCTAGACTGTTGGTCAATATTTGATATCCTTTTACCAAAAAATAATGTATAATATATTAATAACAGATTTTCTGGAACTTCAATGTATTTAACATTAATTTCTAATAGATGTTTTGTTTGAATGAAATCCTGGGAAGAGTTAAATGAAATACAATTTAATCCTAGAATAAGAGGTCTGGAAAAATTATGAGCCTTCATATATTCATTTAATCTAGCTGGGTGTTATATTATAGTCACAAAGAAGGTGAAAGTTGTTCTGAGCCCACAGCATTGAGGTGGGGGAATGAAAGCCCCCATTTTAGGGGACGGAAATGTGGAAAAAATAAGAACTAATAGTATTTCTTAAGGTACATCTCAACCAGAAAATTACAAAGACAGTAAGAAATAACATGCCAAATTAAAGAAATGACATATAAGATCAATATTCTATCTCATTTCCATATGTAAGGTGCATTCTTTATGATAAAGGCAGAGGTCTAAGACAAGAAATACTTATTTGATGAGAGCTGTATGTTGGAGGGGGCCTTTAAAGCAATTCAGTCTAATCTGTAATATAGTGAGGAAAATCTCACAGCCATTGCACAGCTGAATCAGAACAGTACAAACAATTGGTCTCTCTGTTTAATCAACGGTAGGCATATTGAGTTAATATGATTATTAAAATGAAGGTAAGCTGAATGTGGTGGCTTCACTTCCACAAATACGGTCTTAGTCTATGAATAGAATATTCATGGTTTAACTAGTAAATACCCACCATTCAAAACTGAACACAGGATTATTAAAGACCAAGAGTGCCATAGACAATAAATACGGTATACTTCTAAACATCTGAAAGCAATAAAAATAACTATCATGATGTATTATAAAACATCCCTTGATGTTTTATAGATAGAACATTACTGAAACATTCTGTTCAGCATAGCATTTATTATTTCATAATAATTTAGGAAATTATTTTTAAGCAGTAAGGAGTCCTGCCCTTAGCTGATGAATTGAATATGATCAAATTAAAAGAAACTTACTCTCAATGATGTAAAACCCCTCTAGTTTTAAAGATGCTCGAGTAAATCATGCATTTTTACATTTTTGTTTCCAAACTCACCTTTCAAATTGTGTTGATATTCAATGGTCTGCTGTAGCCCTTTTATCATATCATGAAGAGTAGCACATTCTAAAACACAAAAAATAAATTTATTTGAACATCCTTTGCTTTCGTTTTGTAATTATTCTCTCAGTTGAAATAATTAACATAAAATAACATTTAATTGATAATTATGAGATTTAATAAAGCAACCAAGCAACTTGAAGTTAATTATATTATAAATACTTTTAAATCGCTCTTTATGTCAAATGAATTCCAATATTTAGTAATGTGTTTTCTAAGGCACAGTATAGTAGGGATCCTCCCATGTACCATATCTGCCCTAGAAGTAAGGCACACCTATACATGTCTTGGGAACTATGGAGTATTCCATACAAATCTTCCATGAAAGAACATCCTAAAAAAAGAGAATCAAATTATATTAAGTTTTGTTTAATGATAAAAGACCAGAGCCAGTAAGAAGGTATAAGACAATAAGACGATGCTTTTCTTACTCACTGTCTGTCCTCTTAATTCTCATGCATGAGTTTTAGAACAAGAGAATAGCAGTAAAAGTAGTAACAACTCAATGAGTAGTGTTACAAAGCATCAGCATTTTTAGTATCAGTGACTTCTGACATAATGTGAGATAGAACCTTCAATGCAAGTGTTAGAGCCCTGACATGTGCATCTGAGCCTGATCATACTCTTGGTTACCACTAGCAACAGCCACGCCTTTGATGGGAAGCAGTAGTGGTGGAAACTTCCATGGCTTTAACAGTCTATCGGTTATAAGCTCCACAAAAGCAGGGATTATTTTTGTTTTGTTTACTATTTCTTCCTAGTATTTAGAATAGTTGTGTTTCATAGTAGGCAATTCACAAATATTTGTTGAATGATTGATGGCTAGATAGGTAATATCACAGTAAACTGGAACAAAAAATGGGTAAGTGTTCTAGAGAAGCTCTGGCCTGAAAACAACATATGTTTTATTGACTGAATAAAAGAACCAATACTGTGCAGAGAGAATGCAAAATTTTCACCTTTCAGTTAGAGGTTCTGCACTCAGTCTCCATGCACTTTCTTCAACTATGCTGATAGAAATGAAGGCATTTTGTAGAAGTTAAAAGCTTTATGCAGATATAATGTTCTATTTTTGTGGCTCTTCACTCCTCCCTGCCCTCTCTACCATCCCTACCACCCACTCAGGCAAAATTCCTAACATCTTCCATTTTCTCTATCTTGCTATTTCCCAGTAACAGAAAGATGGTTAAACTACATTTGATAGACATTAGCTGAGAACCTGCTTCGTGTATGTTACCGTGCTAGCTGCTACAATTAAAAAATTAAAGAGGCATAGACTCTGCCACTACTTGTATTTGTATCTTTTAGAGTAATGAATCCAGCAATTCATGAAGTACAGTAGCTCAATTTACCTCACTGATCAACAGATTGAAAACAGCCCTGCAACCGAAAGTACGTATATTGGACTTGTTTCAAAAATGTGTATTTTCAAAGGTAGAACACAAGGTGGCTCCCTCATCACATTTTTTTTCTACAGTGGAAACTTTGCTCCATAAGAAATTCTTCATAAGGTGAATAGCATTCACTAATTTAGAATAATGACTTTTAATTCTCTTTGCAAACCTTAACTCACATTATCTTTTCTGTTAGACTTTATTATGTAATTTGAAGAATACTGTCCTATTAAATTCTTCCCAAAAGTCAGAGTTCAAAATATTAAGCTATTTCTTATACTACATAAATTGGTAAGACTATGATCATTTTGAGCACTAATTTAGGCTCTAACATTAACCAGCAATTTGGGTATTAATATCTATTTCATAGGCTAGTGATAAATATCAGATGTAATTATGCATGTAAAGAATGTTCTACAGCACTTGGTCCTCAATACTAATATTATTAACATTTTGAACTGGTAAAAAATTCTTTATCTGGCAACAAATGTAGAAAATAAAATGTCTAAATACCACTTTTATTGTTGAATAAATACAATTATACTTATATTATATTAATTATATTATAGTTCGTTCTTCTTCCCTAAATGGCTCTGTAAGTTGTGATTCTCACTCATTCTTTTACTTCTGCTATTTATAACCTAGTGAAAAAGACATTAGATGTAGAAAAAGTACAGCTGGATTTTTTTTAAAGTACTTTTTTTTTTTTCAGATAATACACAAGACACACAAGTATAGTGAAAAGTGGATATCTCTCCAATCTCTGCCCCCAAACTAATCAGTTACCTTCTTCCCAAGGCAAGCACAGTTACCGGGACACTGTGTATCTTTCCAGGGATATACAAATACATTGAAGAGAGGGTGTTTGTGTGTGTGTGTAAAGATGTAATTTCCTACAAATGATAGCATAATATTCTGCACATTGTTGTTTTCATTTACTGTATCTTGGAGATTATCTATGTCATATAAAATTACTTTATTTATTTTATCACCTGCAGTGTTTCATTAAATAAATATATTGTGACTTATTTAACAAGAACTCCACTGACAGTTTAGATTATTTCCTTTTTTTCTTTTATAAACAATATAGCAACAAATATATTCATCATTTTGCATATATAAAAGTGTATCTTTAGCATAGATTCCTAGAAGTGTAATGGTTAAGTCAAAAGGCATATGAATTTTAAGTTTTGATAGATATTGCCAATCTATTTTCAACAGAGGTTTTACCCCCTTATTAGAAATATATGAGATGACTGCCTCTCTACATCCTTGCCAATAAAATATCAAACATTTTGATCATTTTCAACCTGATGTGAAAATGGCATTTCATGTAGAATTTTTAAGTTATGAGAGAGCTCAAATTTCATATGTTTGTGAGTCACTTGATATTTATTTTCTGTGACCTACTGTATCATGCCTATTTTTATATTGTTACTGTTCTTTTTCTCATTAACTTACCTGTAATATGAGTTGTAAACATTTTGCTATTTTACTTCATATGTCTTTTTTTTTTGCCACATAGAGTTATTCCATCATCAAATTCAAACATACGTAAGAGAATGAAAAGACAAGCCATAGACTGAGAGAAAATCTTTGCAAAATATGTCAGATAATGGACTGGTATCCAAAATATACAAAGAACCCTTAAAAGTCAACTATAAGAAACAAACAACCAAATTAAAAAATGAACTGATACCTCACCAAAGAAAATATACAGATGGCAAAGAAGCACATGACAAGATGCTCAACATCATTTGTTATTAGGGAATTGCAAATTAAAACAACAATGAAGTACTGCAATGCACCAATTAGAATGGCCAAAATTCACAACACTGAAAACACCAAATGCTGATGACAATGTGGAGCAACAGAAATTCTCATTCATTGCTGGTGGGAATGTCAAATGGCACATCCACTTTAGAAGACAGTTTGGCAGTTTCTTACAAAGCTAAACACACTCTTGCCATGTGATCCAACAATTGAACTACTTGGGATTTACCCAAATGAGCTGAAACTTATGTCCACACAACAGTCTGCACATGGATGTTTATAGCAGCTTTATTTATAATGGCCAGAATTTGTGTGCAACTAAGGTGTCCTTTAATAGGTGAATGGATAAACTGTGGTACACCCATGCAATAATACAATAACAGAAATTGTGCTACTCAGCCATGAAAAGACAAGTAGGAACTTTAAATGCATATTGCTAAGTGAAAGAAGTCAATCTGAAAAGGCTACATATTGTATGATTCTAACTATATGACATTCTGGAAAAGGCAAAACTATAGAGACGTTAAAAAGATAAGTGGTTGCTGGGGCTTCAGGGGGAGGAAGGAAAGAGGGCTAAATAAGTGGAATATTGGGAATTTTTTAGGGCAGTGAAACTATTATTTGGTTTGATACTGAAATGGTGGCTGGATACATTTGGAAAGAGTGAACACTAGTGTAAACTATAAGCTTTAGTTAATAATTATGTATTGATATTGGCCTATCAATTATACCACACTAATGCAAGATATTAATAATACGGAAATTGGAGGGGGTGAGAGAGTATATGGGGATCCTCTGTACTTTCACTCAATTTTTTCTGTAAACCTAAAACTGCTCCAAATAATTGCTATTAATTTTAAAATGTCATACATACAAATCCTTTCTTTTATTGCTTTTACATGTTGTGTCACATACTGAGAAAGACCTCCTCCATTATAAAAATTAAATATCTATATTCTTTTCTAGTTTTTCTGTAGTTTCATCTTTTTGATCTTCAATAAAACTGTTTTTTAGAACAGTTTTATTTATTTTTCTGATTTTAAAAACTTTAACTTTTTGTTTTTTATTTTCACTTGTTTTTAATCGAAACATAATTGTTTGTACATATCTCTTGGGTACAGCATTGAATATTAATACCTGTGTGTAATATGTGATGCTCGAATTAGGATAATTAGTATATTCAACATTACACAATGTAATCTTTTTTTGTGGCCCCTTAACAATTTCTCACTAACCTCCCCTCCCCCTTTCTCTTTCCCACTTCTGGTGGCTTCAGTTCTAGAACAATTTTAGATGTACAGAAAAACTGGGAAGATATTAGAGAGTTGCCATATATCCTATATATCTAGTCACCTCTATTATTAACATTGTAATTAATATGGTATATTTATTACAATTAATGAACAAATGTTGATACACTACTATTAACTAAATCCATACTTTATTCAAATTTCCTTAGTTTTTACCCAATGTCCTTTTTCTATTGTAGGATCTCATCCACCACACTACATTACATTTATTTGTCATGTCTTCTTAGACTCCTCTAGGTTAGGATAGTTTCTTAGAGTTTCCTTGTTTTTGATGAACTTGACAGTTTTGACAAGTACTGGTCAGGTATTTTGTAATGTCCCTGTGTGGGGTTTTGTCTGATGTTTATCTCACGGTTAGACTGGGGTTATGGATTTTGGAGAGGAAGGCCACAGAAGTGTATTGCCATTTTCATCATATACATCAATGGTATGTACTATCAACATATCTCTTTTGATGTTGACCCCAATCATGGGGCTGAGGTAGTATTTATCAGGTTTCTCCACTGATAAATAACTGTGTTATGTTCTCTCTTCCCCATCCTTTCCATACTGTATGTTTCACTATAGTGAAGGAAGTCATTATACTCAGCCCACACTTAATGAATGTGGTGTTGCACTCTACCTACTTGAGGGCAAATTACCTACATAAATTATCTGGAATTAGTTTGCACAGGAAATTTGTCTCTTTTTCCCCAATTATTTATTTATTAAATAATTTATTTATATTAGTATAGACCCATGGATATTTATTTTATACTTTGGGCTATAATCCAACACTATTTTGTTGCTCAAATTATTCCAGCTTTTCCCATTGAGAGCTCTTTCAGTTGGCTCCTTTGTCCCTTTTGACATTCTCCCATCATTGTTGGATTTTGTTGTTTTGAGCACTTTCTTACTTTTTGACAAGATGTTTCAGGCTTATCTTATATATTTCCTGCCCCAGTCCTAGAATCAGACATTTCTTCAAAGAATCCTGATTCCTTTTATTAGAGAATGGCATTAGAAACTGAGATCTGGGAACTAGGTATGCTCATTGCCACTGGGGTATTATTGCTTCTAGGCTCTCTCAGTTGACAGAACAAGAAAATATGTGTGCATGGCTTCATTTTTAACAACAATTTTTTTGACCCATCTCACATTAATTTTCATGTCATTTTGAGATAGGAATTCAACTTTTCCCCCCATAGTTTTACAGGCCTGTACTGAGCCTTTGATCTGCCATTTCTTATCTGAGTAGCTCAGACAGATTAACTTCTTTCATTTACATTTCTTAATTAGCGAGGTAGTGTAATGGTACTAATCCTGTCTTTTAGGGCTATCCTAAAGATAAAATGAGATAACAGTCTGGAAAGTCCCATGTGGAATTAAAACACTTTACAAATGTATGGTATAAAATTAATCACTGTTGTACTAAAAAGGACTCTCATTAGAATTACTATTTCTTCAAGCAGTAAAAAACTAACCTTCTTTAATTGAGACCTCATTTGTTTGCATTACTTTTAATAAACAGTTAGTCTTTTCCAACTGGATATCCAGTATATTGTTCTTTCCAATGGTTTCTATCATTTTCTGTCAAAGAAACAGAATATATATTATTACCAAATCACTGCTGCTATTTTGATTCTTTTACTGAGATATGAAGAATAATGAAAATACAAACTACTTATTACCTGAAAGTCTAATAATTAAATCTATCACGTATTTTTAAATAAGCCAATTTCCTGATTTATTTTTAATTTTAAAAGTAACATTGTAAAATATTAAAACAGACTAACAGTTATAAATAAAAAGTAAAAATATGACCTAACTTGAACCTCTTTCTTTCCAACTACTCAACCCTCAGTCACATGGTTAACAATTCCTTATATATGTTTCCAAAGTATTTTATGACTATGTGATTATAGAAAACGATCATATATTCTGTTCTGCACCTTATCTTGGCTTCCACTTAATACTATTATCTAGGAGATGATGTCATGTGAGCACATATGGATCTATTCTTTTTAACAGCTGAGTTGAGTCTCATTTTTGAATATGCTATAATTTATTTAACTAGTCTCTATGGAGGAGAATGAGTTATTTCTACTTTTTTTTTGCTATTACAGACAATGAATAAACATTGTTAAACATATTTCTTTGAAATCTTTTTGAATAGTATAAGCCTCTATGTACTCTTCAGTTTCAAAAATCATTAATTCATGACCAGTCTTATGTCATCTGTACCTCTACCTACTTCCTTAGTCTCCCCACTTCTGAATTTATCTCAAAGCAAATCCCTGACATTATATTATTTCATCTGTAAATATCACCATCCATACATATCTCTAAGAGATAAGACTTTTGCAAAATATCACAGTACTATTATCACATCAAAAAATGAACAATTATTTCTTATTTAAAATATTCAAAAATGATAGATATTTCCAATTTAATCTCAAAAACCTTGCATTAATTCCTCTCATCCCAGCAGTAATTCTTTCTTTTCTCTCTTCTTGTTTTAAAAAAGTTTATTATTATCTCAAAATACTGATCATCAGGAAAATTCTTTCATTATGGCAACTTTTTTTTGTGCACACAAGAAAAGAAGGAATAGTAAAGAATAATAAGAAAAGGAAAGAACATAGAGGTAGGTTTTACTCCTCCTCCCACTCTTGCTTAACAAACCCACTCCCCAAATCTTCAATTTATCCACCTATATTTTTTCAACGACTATGCCTACTTCTCTCCCTGGCAGAGGAGAAGGAAAAACCCAATATATAGTTGTGGGCTGGTCTACCATTTGTCTAGACTTGGGGAGAGGGACTTCAGATTGGTTTGCTTTTAGGCAAAAAAGAAGGAAAAGGGAACAGATAAAACAGGAAAGATTCAAAAAATTTTAGAGTTAGTCATAATGGTAAAGGATTGAAAGATGGGTCTACTTCAATTCTTACTAAAATCATTCCTGAGTTTATGGACATCTGGGTATTTAAGTATATATTTTCTCTTTAACTTTGGCAATAGTACATCAAATATTTGTCCCCCTGACCAAGAAACATTTTGATGTGTTAAAACAAATGAGCCAAAACCAGGTATATTTTAAATACATATTTTAAGGGCTTAGCAAAATACATTTTCATTATTACCTTGCTCATTTTTTGGTACATTTTTCTTTCTTCCCAACTTCCTACATTGGCAAAATCTGTTGCATTTTCCCTTACATACTACAACTGTTTGCTAACTTTACATACCTTTTCTATCTGTGAGAAGTCATTTATAAGTTTGTCAAGATTCACACTGCTAATCTTTTTCATACATCCTTTGCTGCTTTGATCCATGCCTGAACCTAGCGAAGAGTAGTGTTTAAAAAAATTAAATAAATCAGTAAATAAGATCTAAATCATCACAATAGTGGTTATACCTCAAACACTTAAGTTTCTGTTCTTTTCTCACAGAGCACCTACTCGAGCTCCATTGCACTCAGAGAATTTGTTATACCCAGTATTAACAATGATCTAATGCATTAAGTCTTCTCCACTTCTTACCACCCCCCCCAAGCTGAGTTTTTTCTAAACAAATCTAGTGCAATGATATGTGCATATATAGAAATTATTTGTTCCTATTATACCAAAAAAAAAAAAAAAAAGAAAGAAAAGAAAAAGAAAAAAACCCAAAAAACCTCCAAAACAACAAATACACTGTCCAACACTCATCTCCTTGCCATCAGTATGGCTGGACTTAAAATCTGATGCATTAGTCAATCTGAGGCATGACTTTTGAGCGTGGGTATTTAAGAGGTTAAAAATATTCATTTAACTACAGTGCCATAAATATTTTCTAGTAATGTGCTGTTTTTCCTATTTTGTTTGGTAACTTGTTTGGTAAATAAAGGACATATGGAAATTAATGTGCTCAAAGGTCTCTCTGTATTTCTATTCTCTCATAATTTTGTGTAAGATTATTCTTTGGAAACAGCTAGCTATCTGTTAAAGTGAAGAATAAGAGTTTCAATTTTAGTCAGATGGAACTAATCACATGTAATTTTTCAGAATCCCAAAGGTAAACTCATCTGGTAATGATGGAGAAACTGACTTTTGCAAAGTAGACAGCATCTGTATTTAAGAGTGGGAGGATGTCCAGAATCAGTATTAATACAATGTGCAAGTATAAGACACTTGTCTTTAGACTTCTCTAGCAAAGAAGAGGAAAATACAAATTTGAAATGCAAGCATTGTAGATTGAGGAGAGAGTAGGAGTCGAGGTATGGTGACTTTGGCAATTAGTCTAAAGTAAAAGGTAAGTAAAATTCCTGAGGTAATTGTTCAGAGTAATTTGGGGAAATATTATTGTTTAAAAAAAACACCAAAACAGACATTGCCTGACAATATGTTACTTCATCAGGAAATCCCATTTACTTCTTTTTCATATTATTTTACATCAGCAAGTATTAATGATTTTTAAATCTGAGAGAATTTTAGCTGTATTTTTTCATTTTGTTGATTATCCTCTGTATCACATACACAAGTAAAACGCTACATAAAATCCTTTAAACAGTTAAAACTTAATCCTTATGATAGAAAAATAATTGTAAAAACCTCCTGTGATAAATACGGTAAAATTCCTTTGGGGGTAAAATTAAAAATCATTGCTCTTTGATATTACTGTTATTCTTTAGGATCATCTGCAGTAGCTAATACAAAATCCTTCCATCCCCAATTTTTTTCTTCTTAATTCTTAATATTTTAAATAAAAAAGGCTTTACTAGGATTTTGTCTCAGAACCTGGCTCCTGAACTAAATTTGAACTTGATTTTCTCCCAACTCCTTCCCCCTTGGAGTGTTTTCTTTATAAAACCACCACCAGTATCCACTTGCTATCATTGCATATTATCTCTTTGGTCGCACTAGCCGAGCCAGCCAGTTCATGTCTAGGCATCTTCATTGTCCCCTCTTCCAATTTCCTAGATCAAGATCCTTTCAGGGGATATGGTCTTGCACGGTGAAACTAGGTGACAAGCTGGTGATTCAGTGCTTGTCAAATCCTTTAATGAGCCGGAGAGACTATTTGTGACCTTCAGGCCCAGCTTCATCCCTCCCCACAGGCAAGTGACAGTCTCATTTCCTTCTCTGTCCTCCTGTCTCTCTGCTCTCGGCGACCCCACTCAGTCCGGCACCCGCCGCTCCGTCGTCCCAGTCCTTGGCGCCGGCCCAGCTTCATCCCTCCCCACAGGCAAGTGACAGTCTCATTTCCTTCTCTTTCCTCCTGTCTCCCTGCTCTCGGCGACCCCACTCAGTCCGGCACCCGCCGCTCCGTCGTCCCAGTCCTTGGCGCCGGTGCCAGAGGATAGGCTCGGGTCACCTCCTCTTCTCCTCTCCCCGCCGCCCGCCATTGATTCAGTCCTGAAGCCTGGGGCTTCCGGCCCCCTCCACCGCGTGCCGGTGTCCTCAGGGGCCCAAATGAAATACAGCGTGAGGGCCGAGGACCCGCAGGTATGAGAGAAGTGGCTGGGACAAAACTCTGTACAGACCCAGGACGCCGTGAGGAGATGTGAAGAAAAGAATCCCCACGGAAAAAGTGGGAATTTCGAACCGCTGACAGAGTCCGGAGCGTACCTGCTCTTCCTCTTGGTTCCCCCCAGTCCTCTCCGTCTCCTCGGATGCCCGGTCCGCCCCCGACTGCCGTCCCCTCCCCAGGAAGCAAGTTCCCGCAACAATGGGTCCGCACTTCTCTAGCCCCTCCTATGCCCTGTCCTGGAGCTCCCACCACCAGCCTCCTTACCAACTTGGCCCTAGCTCCCCTCCACATCTATTGCTTCTTAGGTATTTTCATGTGGTTTCTAGAACAAGGATCAGCAGCCAGTGACTGCCAGATCAGTATTTTCCTAACCAAGGAATAAATCACATTGGTTTTAGTTTTGATTTGCGAGTCCACACCATTGAATAAATAATAATCCATATTTATTCTGATAACATATTAAGGAGGCTTTTAAAGTACCAGAGTCAGTTAATAGATATGGTTTCTCATCTACAGAGTTTTGTCTTGGTAGCTTAGTGATTAAGGACATAGGCTCTTGTGTGGATTCAAGCCTCAGCTCTCATTCTTACCAGTGGGTGATCTTGGGCAAGTTCTTATTATATGTGCCTCAGCTTTTTTATCCGCATAGTAGAAATTAGAAATAATGCCTACTTCATAGGGCTGTTAAATGAAATGATGCATTTAGAAGGTGCTTAATGGAGTTCCTTGCTTAAAGTGTTCAAAAATGTTAATTGTTATAATTTCTCAATTTTTTTCAGTAACAATTTGAAAGTGTAGCCACTGCTAACTTTGCCCCATCTACTTTTTTTTTTTAAAGTGGGAATGGGACAATTATTTTTATTAATTTGATTTTTCTGTGGGATAAAAAATTTGGCAAGCAGAAAAGTGTAAACGGTAATAGGATAATCTATACTTAATTATTTGAAATGTAGGATAGCATAGTGGCAAGAGAACTAGATCAAAATGGGAAATGTGAGGTGTAATCCTCACTCTGCTGTTCATATAAGCTTTCCTTGACATTAGTAATAATAGTGATGTTGAAAATGGCCTTCTGAATTGCTGGTTCTATCAATTAGCATATATAAAATGTTCCATGTGACTCATGTCATAATAGTTTTTGAAATGGCCCATTTTTAAGACTCACCTAAAATGTGACCTTCTCCATGAGTCATTCATTGATTATATCAGTCAGCAGTGACCTACCTTTCCTTACTCTGGAACATGCTGGCCTTCTTGTGGCATTTGTTAGGACTGTTTGAACTGGTGTGCTATCTTTCATGCTTTATTTATTTCTGGCTCCTTGGGAGAAGAAATTCTATTTTCTTTATATATATGTATATTTATTTATTTATTATTCACATATCTATAGTTGTTTATTCCTCCATAGTGCCTAGAATAGGTAAATAGGAATGAAACAACACACCAGAAACAAATCGGGAAGGTTTAGCTTGTTTTTTCTAGTTCAGAATGAGTCACAAGTTTCTCTTCTATTTATAAATGTTAGCATTTTTTTCAAAGAATCCTGTGGGTTCAAAATATGTCAATGAAAAACTTCATGAGCTTCCCATGATTTTATCCTTCAAAAGAGAATGCTCTTCACAGTTGTATTCACAGTTTTATTCCTCAAACATCATCCAATTGAGAAAGAGAATCGATCAAATATTTGCTCAGAAAATATTCATTTTCTGATTAGTTAAGGATTCATTAAATATTTATTGAAAAACTGCCTGGAAAACCATAAGAGAGAAGCAAATTACATTATTATGCCACGCTAACAAAGAAAGTAATATTGGAATCCATTAAAAATACCCTGATTTGGAAAAGAAACACATATACACCTAGGCAAATGAAAAAAAAAAATCAGAAGCTACAGATTTATTCATATAAGGATCTTAATATGAGTGACATTAATTTCTTTGTTGTTTTTTAGGTTACAAACCATTTCATTTATTCATTCATTCTAAAACATCTAGGTACTTGCAAAATACCAGCTACTGAAGGTCTAGGCACTAAGGAGAACAAGACAAATAGAATATTCTCCTGTTTTGTAGCTTATAGTCTCATAGGAAAAATTAGCAGGGAATTGAAATTTAGTATGTGTTATTGGCAATATTGCTTTGACGTTACACTCTTACCTCATTACTTTAGTTGCTGTCATCAGTGTGTTACAAGAACAAAATATGATGGTGTTACTCCCACGTCATGGCAAGTGTTTAGAAATGGCTTAGGTAGTCTATTGAGTCCTCTGTTCCAGCTATATTAATTAACTTCCTCATTATTCTTACTTATGTTCAGGGCATGTTTTTCATCTGCCTAATCAAATCGACCAATTGCAATTTTCAGCTCAATCTCATTTCCAAGAATATTAATTTATAAAATGTTATAAATAGGAAAAAATCTGCATAAAGTGAAATATAAATTAGAAATGGAAGTAAAGGCCAGGAGGGAATATAAAACACAAATACATTGGCTTGTAGGTCTATAAAGTTGTTGCATTCCTTCCACAAATTTGGCTTTGAATTTCCTGCTGGCCAGAATAAAAAAGGATACAGGCTCGATTTCTTAGTTTTCCTTGTGAAGGAGGAGAAAACATACAAGTTTCTTAGGAGAAACAGAGTGTTTCCTAACTCTCCCCTCTTAACTTATCACATCAAGATTCATATAAGAGGCACTAGATAATTTAATAAGCAATTTACCCAATATTAATCTGAGAGCAAAGGCAGATATGAGCTTTGTAAGACACTTTTCTAAAAGTATCTCTATTTAAAAGGCCAGAGTAAATTAGCAATGGTAATCAGAATGA